GAAAGAGCTTTAGGTGAAGCAAAAGCTGCTCGTGCAGGTCGAAAGGAGAGCTGAAAACTTTTGGGGAGCTCTCCTGCAGCAAGTGGGGTGGGGGATCTGGAGGGCAGCTGCCAGGCAAGTCTTCTTAGGACATAGCCAAGAAAAAGTGGACGTGTCTGTGGGGGCAACCACTGCATTCCATCCTTCAGGAAAAGCAGAGCTCCTTTGCTTCCCCCCTTGGAAGCCCCAGCTCAGACGTTAGCAACCCAAGAAGCAGAAGAAAAGCCAGAGCTCCTCAAGACCACTCGTACATCCTGTACTTTGAGAAACTGAGCTCTGGGCTTTGTTGTTCTTTCAGTCCTCCCCCTACCCCCACGTTTGCCCTTCTTGATTTCCTCCTCGTCAAGGGTCTCCTGGTTTGGATTCATTCAGAGCTGCAGCCCACGGAGAGCTGGACACGGTGGGATGGATACGTCCACCTCTCATTAACACCCAGCTGCCAGCTCCAGGGTGGGAATTCTTCCAACTCCAACCTGGCTACTTCAAGACTTTTTCCAACTCTCTGTTAAAAATTAAAGCAACGTTCTGCTCGCTCTGCTCTCCAGACAATGGCAGAATTCAATGCAAACGTTGATTTTGGATCTGGTCTCCAACTCGCTGGGTTGGAGTTGGCCTCATGGTTAAGGCTGAAAATGCTGGAAGCCAAAGGCTACAGAGCTTCAGCCTGCAAAGCCCATCCAACACGGGTGCCCACAGACATGTTGAAACCCCAACCTTTCCATCTGCTAAAAAAACCAAGCACTTGATGGAGAAAACATCCCCGTGGCACGTAGCAGAGGTCATGCCTCATCAGCCCTCTCGTGCACGGGACTCTCAGACCTTCCCTTCCAGCAAGCACAAAGAAACCACAGAGGAGAGCACTGGAACCCTCCAAACCACACCAAATCCATGGAAATGAGCTTTTAATGGAGCCAAACAATGAGCTCTTCTGTAGGGGTTCTGCAAGGAAATTCAAAGCACGCTAATCAAAGGGGGCTATCGTGTTCCCTCCGTGAGGAAAGGGGCCCAGGATACCCACCCTGCTCAGGAAAGCTCCCTCCAAGTTCAGAAACAACGAAGGAGATGCAGCCAAGTCAAAAACAGAGCCTCACCTTCACTAAAAAACCTTGGAATTTGGGGTGGTGGTGACAAAGGACCAGCCTGCAGGGCCAGGGGTAGCAGGGAACATCTCACCCTACAGAAACTGCTCAGAAAGGGGGGAGTCAAAAGAGGGGAGATGGGTCATTAAAGGATTTGTTCTCCTCTTGGCAGGATCTTGGAGATTGAATCTAGCTGGAGGTACCCAAGACAGTTAAAAAGGATCAGCCCTGGCTGGATTGGAGCAGAGGTTGCTGCACTAAGCCCATGGTGCCTTTCCCTCCCCTGCCTGGTGTACTTTTATTTTTCTATCTATGTTATCAGCCTGAACTATTTTGGATGCAAAACATTTCTTCCTTTTGGGGCATTGGAAAGGATCCTGGGTGAGGTACTGGCATGACATTCTTCACTGATAACAGAGCTGCCTGAGGTCAGATCCAGATCCTGCCTTTTTTTTTTTTACCCCAGTTTCATCACACTGGTTAGAGATGAGCTGCAGCAACAACCCTGCAGCTGAGCAACCCTGAACCGGGAGAAGATTTCGGTTCAAATCCAAACTTGAGGTTGTGTGCACGTTTTGCAGCTAGAGAAAAGAGGCTTTTCCTTCTGGGCTTGTCCTGAATTCATCCAGCTGGAGCCTCCTCATGCTTGGGAGATCAGGGCTTGAGCTGGCCTCTTATCAGCAGAGATCTTGCATAAGAAAAGCATCTTTATTCTGCAGGGATTGAAAACTGGAGCCTTCATTCCAGGTGCCATTTGTGTTAAGAGATAAGCATCACCACGGGAAGGGAACAACATTATCTCTACTCCTGCCTATTCCCCCCAATAAACAGCCCAAAGAAGATTAGTGGTACATGCTGCTGCCTTAATGAGGGAGGCATCATTAATCAGCAGACACAGTGACACGGGCTCTGACCTCTGGCTCAAATGCAATCCCATCTGCTGACTCCACTCCCCAGGAGGAATCTTCTAAGCAGAAAATACAAGCCCTGGGAGCCAGGGAAGAATTTAACCTAGCCATTTAATCGTGGTTTAATATTTCCTGGATGCTTAGGCTTGGATGAGGAATCTGGAAAACAGAGGAAATCATCTCCTCTTCCTAGAGCAAGATGGTCTCAGGGAGAGCTGAGAAATCTCTCCTTCTACACAGGCAGGGCAAACAGACTCAGCAAGGGAACTCCTGCAGCTTGGAGATTTTAGGCTTGGAGATGTCAGGCTTGGAAATTTTAAGCTTGGAGCTTTTAGGCTTGGAGCACACCTTGATAAAGAAAACCTCCTCTTATGCTTGGGGTCGTTATTTTGATTAAAAATAAACCTTGGCTCAGCAAGGAGGTTACTGAGACTGATGCAGCCCCTTTGGCAGCACAGACAAGCTCCACAGATCAGGCATTTGGTGCTCTGTCAGGTCACTCTTGATGTCTCCAAGTAGCAAATCCTTGAGACAAGGCAAAATCTTCCTGTTTATGAAGTGTCAGATGAACCTTCCTCCCCAAAAAAATGAGTCTTTAGTCTCCTGTTCACATAGTGACTCCCACGGGGCACGTGCCCTGGAGAGGAGCAGCACAAGGGGATCTTCTTCACCTTCTGCCTGCTGGGGATTCACGTCTGGGAAAGAAACCCTCCAAAAACAACCTCAACCCTGAGAGTTTAGAGCATCCCCCACGTTTGTCCTGCTCCCAGAAGGTCAGTAAATCCTCCTGGAGGATGATATGGACACCAGCATCCTCTTTTGGTGGTCTCCTTAGCCCTCGAGGTAAGCTAAGTGATGGAACAGCCCCCGCAGATGCTGGAGATGTCTCTTTTTATGGCCATCCAGGAAGGAGAGTGAGAGGAAGCTGTTTATGGCCACTTCATGCTGCTTTTGCAGGCGTTTTGGGAAGGGGGGACCCGCGCCGAGGCCCCTCGCATCTGGCTGACAGATGGAGACAATGGTTTGGTTTTAATCTTGGTGGAGAGGAGATTCCAGCTAAACTGATTTCAGATGTGCTTCGCCTGCTCCCCAGCCAGCACGGGTGAGACAGACCAAGGCAAGGATCATTTTTGGCATCCTGAGGTTGGGTCCAGGGTTCTAACGCAGTCCAACCTTGGCCACTTGGCCACCCAAACTACACAGGGCACATCAGAGGGTTTGGAGAACTGGTTCCTCACCAGAGATGCACATAAAAGGCCTGGCTGGGATTCTACCACTTCCCAGCACTGCAAGACACCCTTCTGTTAACATTTTAGAAAGTCTCGTGGCCTCCTGCCAAGGAAGATCCACAGCCACAGATGTCTCCTCGACATAAAAGAAGGTCCATCCCCCACCAAAGGATTAACCCCTGTAGCTGGTGTCTCACTTTGGAGAAGTTTTTCTGAAGGGCTGAACCCAGGTCACACAGCCTGCACTGAGACAGATGCTACCAGAATTCTCCTAGCAAGGAAAACATCTGGACTGCAGGAAGGTGGGGAGATGGGAACAGTCACCTGGCAGCAGTGATGTTCCCTGGCCTGAGAACTTTCTGGCAGGAGAAATCCCATGGGATGATGGATGGTGTCAAACCCACAGCACCATGGAGAGGATTTAAGGCTTATATAGAGACTGCTGAAGTTCCCAGGCTCATGTGGTGGCTGCTTTAAGGGCTCCTTCTGTGTGACAGTAATAAAGTGCCTCCAGTTCTGCCACTGGAAATCACTTTGCCACCCAGAAAGAAATTCCAAGTGAAACCTTTAGATTCTGGTTTATTCATCATCTCTTGTCTTGGTTACAGCAGAGCCTTGGGGAGGAATGGGCAGTGGAGTTCCTGAAGGCCAAATCCACGTGGAAAGTGGGGTTCTTGAAGCCCAACCAGCACACCAACCACATTTCAACCCCCAAATGGCCAACACAAGCCAGCAGGCTTTCATTAGGGTATGTGGGAAAGGGCTTTTACAACCAAGGCAGGAAAAAATTAATGCTCTTTTCCTTTTCATTTGCCAGATGTTTGGAAAATACAACAAATGTTTAGTCCCTGCTTCTGAGGAGTGCAGCTTGCCTGGCAAGGTTCATGTCCAGCCCTTGAGAATGGCTGCAAAATGCCTGGGAAGAGAATGTCCTTCCTACAGAGGTGTGAACACCTTGGAGAGACAAAGAACAGGGATAAAGGAGGTGCTGAGGCTGGACAGAAGTGTCTCCTTGAGGCATGGGCCAAGACATTGCCTCACACTGTCTAGGTGAGCCCTGAATTTAACTAATTTAACTACACTGGACCAATTTATCCTGAGTCCAAGAGCAAAGAGCAGCTCCAGGGGCTGCCAGAAGCAGGCAGAGTTCTGCCTGAACTAGTCTTGATGATGTTCAATTTTCACACCCCAAATGAAACCAGTCCTTTGGCCTGAGGCTCAAGGATTTGGGCATTTCTAAGCCACTCCTCTAACTGCAGAGCAGCTTCCCCACAGGTTCAGAGCAGAGCTGCACCTCCACATCTGGGCAAAGCACCTCAGTCCTCCACTGATGGGTTTTTAGAAGATAATTAACACTTAAACTCCTCCAATTTCTGTGCTGAAGAAGAGGCAAGGAGGAGCTGCTGCAAAATTCCCTTCCCTCAGGTTGGGAACTTCTCCAGAGAGCCTGAAAATCGACTGGACTCCCCAAGCATCCCGCACTGTAAGCACAAACCACACCTCTGAAGGGCCAAGAGAGATGCTGGGGCTGAAAAAGTCACTCCCCTTTACAACACAGCCAAGGGGCATCCTACAAAAATAGGGTCAAATTCTGGCCAAGGTGTCAGTTTGGAGAACTGTCACTAAGTGAGGGAAGCAACACTGCCTTGGCTGCTTTGTACCCTTCCATTTACTGCTCCACACCTTCACCTCAAGGAACCAGACCTTCTGCAGTGCTCTGAGAGCCAGCAGGTCATTTCTGGTTCTTTTATTCCACCACCAGCCCAGCCACTCAGCCCCTACTTGCTTTGCCTCCCTTCTCTTGAACTTGAGGCCACAAGCTGCAGAAAGATGAATATTGAGTGGATATAAAGAAAATGTTCCTCACAGGACAGGGGAGCAGCCCACAAAAGTCCTAGAAGAAAAGGCTTTGAGTTTTCACAACCTGATAGAGCTCTGAAGCCAATCCTGATCTAAGCAGAGACCTACAGCCCTTGAGATCCTTTCTGCTCAGTGAGTCTGTGTAGCCACCAAAACATCTTTCAGAAAACACCTGCCTAAAGAAAACCCCACAAAACTAGAAGATGAGAAGATCAGACAAGCTCTGGTCCTCATTTCCTTGCCCTGGAGACTCTAGGAAGCAGAGAAATGGTCCAGAAATGGATTTTCTAACACACCCTGGTGCCTGCAACATTCCCTCCAGGCTGGAAGCTGGGACCAAGGCTGGCCTGGGAGCTCTTTCTGCAGGAGGTTGCAATCTTACCTTCACATCTGTGGCTGGTCTCGCTCTGCTTGTGCCCTGCAGGACATTTGCACTCGTAGGAGCCCACGGTGTTGATGCAGTTGCCACCTTGACAGAGGCCAGGGATGGCTTGGCATTCATCCACGTCTACAGGAAGAGGAGCAGAGATGTTAGAAAGAGCAGCCAGGGCAAGGGAGGGGTGTCCAAGCCCAGCATGGTGGGAGCACGAGGAGAAAGAAGCAGCTTAGCTCCAGGGTTTCCTTGTTGTAATGCAATTACCCACCAGATTCCATGAGAGAGAAGTTGAAGGACCCAAACCAGACATCAAACTATTGCTGGCTCAGCTACAGGAGCCAAAAGTATAGTCCTGTTTCCCAGAGCAAACATCTACCCCCCTCATGCTTCATTCCAGGCTGGTAGCTGAGCTGGGGAGGAGAACTGGCTTGGTGGGATGTCCTCCTGCAGCCTTCAGAAAGCCCCATCTGCTGCAGGGCAGAGAGGGGACCTATGGACTGTGAGGTTTTGTTCTCAGCCCCCAGCCCAGGAAAGCTCCTGTTAGTTACACTCCAGTTCTGCAGGAAGAGGGAGTGAGAAACCTCCTAACCAGGCCCAGCTCTCCTGGAGACACTGGGACCATAAAACACAGCTGAGAACAGAGAGCTTGAGGGGTCTCCTCTCCACTCTTCCCAGTTTCATCCTGCAGGCACTGGCCAGTGTGGGATCCTCCTGGAGACACTGGGACCATAAAACAGAGCTGAGAACAGAGAGCATGAGAGGTCTCCTCTCCACTCTTCCCAGTTCCATCCTGCAGGCACTGGCCAGAGTGGGATTTGGGCTCTAATCCTGGCTTTTCATCAGCAGGTAGAGGCTGAATCAGTTGCAGAGGCAGAAAGGAATTCATGGGGCTCTACATGGACAACCTACCACTAGGGAGAAGCAATGGCAGCTCCAGAAAGGCTGGTGGGAGCTCAGAGGAGCTCCTGCAGGTTTTGTCTAGGTGTCCTACCATTGGATGTAACCTTTAAGCAAGTTATTTATGTATATTTTAATTGCCTGTGTGATCTTGAAGCATCACAACTCCTGTTTTGGACCAACACCACAACTCCCAGAGCACTGGCCACCTGGTTACAAGTGTTGGTCATGTTCCAGTGCTGGGACAGAAGTGCCACCACCAGCAGGAGCACCACAGGAGGGCACAGGCAAGGCTGTAACTTAGCTTCCAGCCTGGAGAAAAACCATCCTGGTTCACTCCCTCTGGTGGGCTGATGTCTCCTGAGAACCACAGCATGGCCAGAGCCTTTCATTGGGCTAAGATGGTCTTGGGTGAACCCACAGGAGCCTGGAGGTCCACGGTGATGGTCTGGGACACACAGGGATGGATTTAACACAGTCTACCCAGAGAACAGCTCTCTGTACAAGAGCTCCTGGCTCCTCCCTCACTTACCCCTTCAGTGCACAGCAGAATGGCCACGAGAAGCCCCTCCAGAGGTCCATGGCTCTTACCTTGGCAGGCTCCCGTGCGGATGTTGGGGATGAAGCCCCGGCGGCAGGGGTGGGGCTGGGCAGGGCACATCTCACAGGGGTGGCCCCAGGCCCGCCCGATGGTGGCACAGCACATGGTCTTGGTGCAGACAATGCCACTGAGCTGGCCCTGGCACATCTGGTTGTTCACTTGGCTAAAGCAGGGACCGGTCCGATAGTCTGGGGGAGAGCAAGGACATCCACAGGTGAGATCAAGACACAACCTCAAGGTTTTCTGGGCTTCTTGCCCTTCCCACCAGCACAGCCACAGGGTCAACAAGTTCTGGAGAAAAGAAGGTAAAAATGGAGAGTAGAGAAGCCAGAGCTGGAGTGTTTCTTTCTGGTGTGTGTTTCATGGGATCACCCAGAGGTTCTCCCAGCCAGCTCCTCCTGCTCTCCCCCAGGGCTCTGTTTGAGTTGGTGCCTTTAAGAAGTGGCCCTAGAATGAACTCAAAATATGAAATTGGGCAAAGAGGCCACTTCAGGGCTGCCAGTTCTTCTCTTCTGTTCTGAGATGATGTGGTGCAAGCATCTCCCATGGAGAGCCTTAGTGCCTGATGGTCCATATGACACAAAGAGAGGAGGATGGAGATGTCTTGCTGTCAGATTCCTTCTCCTTGCCTTGCAGAGTCCTGGATCTTACCCACAAAACATTCTGGGAGAGAAATCTCAGACTTTTCCCCATGATGCCCACTGTCAACCCCACGAAGGGATTCCTGTGCTCACTGCCAGCCCCTGTGAAGCTCCTGCAGCACTACACCTCACTGGGCTTCATGCCTTTGGTTTAACTCTTGAAGCTCCCCCAGCAACTTCAACCAGCTCTTTAAAACCCAGCTGCTGCAGAGCCCCCCAAGCCTGTTCCCCATTCCCAACAAGGATCCTGCTACCCCTTAAAACCAAACAGATTCTGAAGGGCTTGTTTGCACTGAGGAATGTGGCTTTGCCACTGTCTGGACTCTCATGACCCTTGATTAGGGATATTAGCACAGCAGGCAGCCAGCAGGAAGCAAAATTCTTAAACAAGAGGGTTTTTTTTTCCCCTTCTAGTGGGAATAGAGGATTGGAGGCAAGTGTTTGATCCGTGGCTGGAACAAGGACCTTTAACCATGTTATTGTCAGACCAGAAAATTCCCCGTGAACTGTCTAGGTGTTGGTCCAACAGCCCTTACTTCAGATCATCTGGCTGAGGTCTGCAAAGTCTCTCAAGGAATTTGGATGTTGGAGTGCCCAGTAATTAGGCATTGCCTATGACCCCAAATCCCTCAGGACCCAGATCAACCTCAGCTGCCTTTGCAGTGCAACGTTTGGAGTTGATGTCTGAAGCAACAAAAAGCTTCTGTGGAGAGGGGTTACCCCCAACCCCTGGGCAGCACTGGCACCCACCTCCAAAATGAACAGTTCTGATCCCAGAACTGCCTCAGGAGAACACAGACACTCCACAAAGCAAAGCTCCAGTTCTTGGCCTGCAAGTTCTCAGCTAGAAGTCTTTCCACACACGAGCTGTGGAATCTGCTCCCTTCTTTTTTATCCTCAAGGGCACGTGCAAAGGAGAAAAGGAAAAGCACTAAAGGGGCTGTTCCAGACAGAGCTTCTCCTGTCATGTTTGCATGGCAGCCACGTTGGCATGGAACCATGGCAGGGGGACTTTATCCCAGGCTGTAGAAGACAATCTGGGGATGCTGGCAGCTCCTGTAGGGTTAGACTGATGGTGTCTGGGCTCAGGGGTCTTCTGCAGTCACAGAATCCCAAACTGGGTTGGGTGGGAAGGGACCATTAAAGCTCATCTAGTCCAACCCCCCTGCAGGGAGCAGGGACATCCCCAGCTAGAGCAGGGTGCTCAGAGCTTGGTCCAACCTCCCCTGGGATGGTTCCAGGGATGGGGCAGCGACCACCTCTCTGGGCAACCTGGGCCAGGGTCACCCTCAGCACCCAAAATCTCTTTCTTCTCTCTAGTCTAAATCTCCCTCTTTGAGTTTCAACCCATCCCCCCTTGTCCTGTCCCAACAGGTCCTGCTCAAAAGATTGTCCCCATCACCCTGGCTTGTGCTGAGTACAAGCTGTGTGAGGTCCCTCTGTGTTATAATTGTCCCACTTGGCACTGGGGTAAGCATGGCAACCACACAACAAACCCTCCCCTACCTCTAGAAGAGATCAATTAGCACAATAATTGCTGATTTCCAGCTTAATGCTCCCTCTAATTTGTATTTCTTAAGCAGTCGGGAGCACAGTCATACTTAAAAACTAATGCTGATAAAAGTGTCAAAAGAAGTTTGGTCTGAGGAGGTCACTGAGAGGTAAAGAGCAAGAAGGATTTTGGGGGGGAGGGGAAGAAAAGCAATGATTTTGAAGGTATAAAAGTGACAGGATCTCATAAAAATGCCTTTTTTTTTGGAAACCAGAACAGAAACGTGCCATGGGGAGTTTCCAAATAACCATCTTCTGGTTTTTTTTAACTCCAATTTTAACAAGATCCCAAAGCACGTGCTCCTCATTAACATCTCCTGCCATCCCAAGTTCAAGGCTTTAGTTTGCTCTACTTTATTCCTAGAAATCAACCAAATTTGAGTGGTTTCCTCACTCACTGTCTTGTTTTTTTAACAAAACTCAAAGGCTTTGGTTCAAATTTTCAGCCTTGAGAAAAAAGATGAAGGAGAGCTCTTTATAACCACACCAGCAAACAATTTAAACCTTCTGCAGTGAGTATACCCAAAAAACTATGAGAGAAATTGCTTTGTGACCCTAGTTCAGTGGAGAGGTCAACTCAGTAAAGACAAATACCCTACAGACTGGACTGAAGTGTGAGGAGAATAAAGAACATCAAGAAGGAACATCAACAGGAGAGGAAAGCAGAATGGGGAGAAGATCAGAAAAGGGTCACAAGGAAGACAAAAGGTGTGGAAGGGTTTTATGTGTGAGGAACAGCTGCCCTGGTTAGAAGTCCTCAGACTGGGAAGCAAATACATGGAGGAAAAACCTGAGCTGAGGGTTCAAACCCCTGCCCACTGCAGGTGGACAACCTTTAAAGGTTGCTTCCAACCCAAACCACTCTAGGATTCCACAAAACTCATGGGTGGGCTGAGGAGGAACAGGCCACTCTCTTCAGAGCCAGAACCAGGAGACATCATAGGCAGCTAAGAAGTGAGCTGGGTTTGGTTCTCCAGCACCATGGGAGCTGGAGGTCCTGTGGTAGGTAACAGGGGTTAGGTGGGCTGCAGCTCTGGTCCAACGTGGCCGTGCCCACGTGCTTACAGGGAAACATCATTTATTTTATGAGAGATGATATTCTGAAGCCTCCTTAACCCTAGGACAAGGTAGACATGCCTCATAAGAGGCCTCAACTTCCCCCTTCCCTACCCCAAAGGAGCATGGAGAAGAACACGTGGCTGATGTCATTGTGGATGGACCTACAGAAGACTCTGGTTGACTCAGAAGGTCAGATCTCAGAACTACAGAACCCCAAAACCAAGGGACAGAGAGGAAAAGGGGGAAATTTGCATATCCCACATCTGTGGCACGGCGGGAGGCACCACGGCCCCAATTCCTGGAGGCTGCTAATGGAAGTGTGGCTGTAAGGAGAACACCCCCCCCCTCAAACCAAGAAGTGACAAAAATAGATTTTCATATGTAGATTACTCCTTCAGAGGGCACGAAGCCAAGGAAATTGCAGTCTGGAGTCCAGAAAGCCTGGCTGCATTCCACCTCCCATCTGTTGCTAATTTTAATGGTCAAATTATTAAATTTTTAATGAGGCACCAATCAAATTTTATTAAGGAAATATGCAAGCTTAGGAGATGTCTAAAGCCCTCATCCAGCCTACGTATGGGACCCCATCTTCCAGGCACCCTCTCATGGCTACTTGTCCTTCAGGAGTTTGGTCTTCACCAAATGATAGGATGTTTGGGTTGGAAAGGACCTTCCAAAGGTCATCTAGTCCAACCCCCCTGCAGTAAGCAGGGACACAGACCTCCTTCCCAGTTGCCATGTTTGGCTGGTTGTCATGGAGGTCATTAGGAGCCCCTGTAGCTAATGAATGGTCATTCTGGAGAACCTCAAGCCACGCTCCTTGGGGAGTCACTGGGTGGGTTCCATGTCCATTCCCCATGCTCCAACCCCAGCCCATGCCATTCCACCTGCAAGCAGCTTCCTGAAAATCTCCCTGCAGACAGTTTTAACTCTCCTCATGTAGGACATCAGTGGAGGAATGCATCAGGGTTGCAGTGGACATCTGCCTCCAGCCACGTGCTGCATGGAAGTGGTGGAACATTAAAGTGCAGCAAGTGGCTTCATATAGTCCTGGTTCAGCTACACATAAAACCTCCCAGTTCCCCCATTTCCAGCACCCAAAACCTCCCAGTTCCCCCATTTCCAGCACCTAAAACCTCCCAGTTCCCCCATTTCCAACACCTCAACCATCACAGTTCCCCCATTTCCAACACCTCAACCATCACAGTTCCCCCATTTCCACAGCTTCCTGAAAATCTCCCTGCAGACAGTTTTAACTCTCCTCATGTAGGACATCAGTGGAGGAATGCATCAGGGTTGCAGTGGACATCTGCCTCCAGCCACATGCTGCATGGAAGTGGTGGAACATTAAAGTGCAGCAAGTGGCTTCATATAGTCCTGGTTCCCCCTTCCCAGCCATAAAACCTCCCAGTTCCCCCATTTCCAACACCTAAACCATCCCAGTTCCCCCATTTCCAGCACCTAAAACCTCCCAGTTCCCCCATTTCCAACACCTCAACCATCACAGTTCCCCCATTTCCAACACCTCAACCATCACAGTTCCCCCATTTCCAGCACCTAAACCATCACAGTTCCCCCATTTCCAGCACCCACAACCTCCCAGCTTCCCCATCTCCAGCACTCAGGGTGCTGTGCTGACCTGGGATGCTGCCCTGCCCTACTCAACCCAAGCTCCCCTTGTCATCTACTCACCCAACTCACCCTCCCAGAACTTGTCTCACCTCCTCCAAGAGGTCATAACAAACGTTGCACCACTCCTTGCCAACCAGAGCTATAATTTATGCCAGAAATGCAGCTTGGACTCATTAAAATAGAATGACCAGTTGCAAACTCTTTAATATTCCCACTCTGAGGCTACCAAACATTTATCTACAACAGTTGGAAGGCACCTTCTCTGTCACTCCATGTCCCTGGAGCTAAATGGAAACAATGGAAAG